TAGTCATGTTGGAGAATGGAGAGTATGTCTCGGATTCTGAGGAAGAAAAGGAGGCTAATTCAGATTTTGATGTGGACTAAAAGATAGAGATGGAGGAGGCACCACCGGGAGAGCTTTTCGTAGCTAGAAGAATTCTAAGTGTGCAACCCAAAGAGGAGCTTGAACAAAGAGAGAATCTGTTCCATACAAGGTGCACGGTGGATGGGAAATTACTCTCGTTGGTAATTGATGGTGGAAGCTGCACTAATGTCATTAGTGTCTATTCGGTTAAGAAGTTGGGATTAAACACTTTGAAGCATCCCAAGCCATATACACTTCAATGGCTCAATGATCATGGCGCCATCAAAGTAACAAAGCAAGCTCTCTTGAAGTTTTCGATTGGAAGGTATGAAGATGAGATCTTATGTGATGTTGTGCCTATGCAAGCGGCGCATGTCTTATTTGGGAGGCCATGGCAATTTGATCGAAAGGCACATCACGATGGAGTTACTATTAAGTACGAGCTAGTACATGGCGGGAAGAAATTCGTGTTGAAACCCCTATCTCCCAAGGAAGTTTATAAAGATCAACTCCAAATGCAACGAAAGTGGGCGAAGGAGAAGGAGCAGGAATCCCAAGTCACGGACAAGAGTGTACATGGGGGGACTAGTGCCGTGGAGACCAAGTCATTGATGCTAGCACGTAGTGAAGATGTGAAGCCAGCAATTAATGAGTCATCACCTACTCAAGTTGATTTTGTCACGGGAGAAGCCCTACAACAACATCAAATTTCGTCCCAAGACATAATCAACGCCTCAAATACTCCCACACCACCCAATTCTGCTCATGAGCATGGTCAAAACCCTCTTCAATGTAAGTCAATTCATATGCAAGATTATGGTGAGATTATTGACCACATTGATTTTGTTATTGGGGATGAAGTGACATACATAGAGGCTCATATTAGAGAAAGACGAAGACTCCAAGAGTTTGTGGATCATCTTAGTTTTCAAGGTGCATGGTCAAGTGGGAAAATAATGAAGTCACGGGAGAGAATTTATATGTCACAACAAGATTTGAGGTCAAATCTTTTTCAAGAGGGAGAGAATGATGCGACCCCGCTCACCCCGCATGACGTCACTCAAGCTCAAACTAGATACCTACATGGACCATGGTTCAAGAGACGATTTAAGAGGTTTAAAGAGAGCTTGAAAGCATTCAAGGTGGAAGAAAAGGTCTTTGCAAGCAAGGCCTACGAGTTTGTTGATGTGAAATCAATTGGCAGAATATATAATTCTCGTGGTCCAAAGATGAAGGTCCGAGTACGACGATACAAGGATCAAATGGGATCATTCTTGATGGACGTGGACTTGCTAGAAGGAAAGTCCATCACGTTGCTACGATTTATGGACTAGAATGAAGAGAAGATGGGCTTGGTAGAAGGAAGGAAGATCTCCCATGGTGTGAACACAAGGTGTGAAAAGGAGTACAAATGTGAAAGGAATATCAGGTGTGAACACAAGCCATGTGAGGAAGGATTGCAAGGCTAGAATCTAGGGAGTTGTTGACCAAGTCTTTTCCTTGTCTATTAAGGATTGTGTTTTCCTTTTACTTTTCCTTTAAGGTTTTGTTTTCCTTTTAATTGTAGGATTTTGTTATTTGTTTGCTTTCTTTCTTAGTTTAAGATTGGATTTTCGTTGCCTATATAAGGAGGATGCGTCCCTCATTGTAATTCATTCTATTATCAATCAACTTTCAAGTTTCAAGTTCAAACGAACTGGTTCTTTGTGCAAGCTTCTGTCGAGAGTGCTCCAGAGGTTTCACGTGTCTCTTATCAACTAGAGAACGCGTCTAGTTGTGGCGAGCTTCTACCCTATATCAATTGCCCCTTTCCACGAGTTGGTGTTGTCCGAATGGTTTAATATACCAATTGCCCTTCATCACGAGTTAGGAATTGTCCGATTGATTCCGCATCTATCTTTATTTTTCGAGTTCAAGAAAGGCGACATCAGAAAATCATAAAAATATCGTTGAAGCTGCGTACTTTGATCACATCAGGTGGGATGGCTCGTTTTGAAGATAAAGTGTTCCTCTATTCAGTGATGTGCCTTGGAGCTCGAGGGGAAATCCAGAAGGCTGTGTACCAGACGTTCAAACATGCTACCTTGACAGCTCAAAACTGCCATAATTCTACCAAGTCTGGAAGCAAGTGCAGGAAGGCAGGTTTGGAGCTTATTTCACGACCATGGAATTGGAACCAGGTTTGGAGGATTGTTCCACATGGAAGCTTGCGTTTTCTAATACAAAAACGTGGGATGGAAGCACGCCTTTACCTGCCTTCCAAGGCAGCCCTGTTTTCCTTGTTTGACACATATTGTGTTTATGTGTTGGATTTTGATTCCTTTTTGAGTTGGATTATGTTTTAAATTCCTTGTTAGTTGTAGAAGTAGCTAGGTCTATAAAAACCCCAACTTGTAGTGTAATCGGCAGAGATTGATGAATTCAAATCGTGAGTTTTCACAAACCCTTGCGTTGTTGGTTGTGTTCCAGCTTTGTAATTTGCTTCATATCGATTGAAACCGCATCAATCGTGGCCGAGCTTCGACCTAAACCAATCGAGCCTCTTTCCTAGTGTGAAGTTGCACCTTTGGCCGTTTTCATTTTAAGTTTCTGTTCGAATTTGGAGCTTTGATTCGACGAAGAGAGAGAGAGTTGCGCCCTTTGAATCAAAAAACAGCACCCCCCGTGCTCGTATTAAATGGCATCAGAGCCTTGGTCTACACAGGGATTAGAAAGACGGAAGGCACGTGGACAAGATCAAAGGGTTCTGTCGACAGAGACCCTGCCGTGCAATGCGCCAAAACGGAGACCACGTTTGAGTCCAAATCGGCGACTCAATAAGCAGAGCAAGTCATGGGAGACCCAAATATAAATAATGATGACTTGATTCAATCCATAGTGGCGACGTTCCAGTCGCAATTCGACCAAATTCAGAGGCAGCTGGCCGAATTAAGCGCGACGGCTTGTGCCCCTGTTCCGCCGAGGACTGTGGCAGAGCATGGCGGCAATCGCCGAGCTCCGCAGGAAGAATGACACGGAGAAGTCAACCAGGAGCTATTGGAGCGGGTCCATGAACTCGAACAGCGGCTGGTGGTGGCTGATCCTGAGCACGAACGTCGTTATCGCGATCGTCGTGAATACATGGACGCGATAACAGAACCTGGAATTCCTCAGGGAATCAAATTGAAGATTCCAAATTTTCAGGGGACACTAAATGCCTCTACGTACCTCGATTGGGAGCGAAAGGTCATTCTTTTCTTCCAATGTGGCCGATTCAACAAGTCACAGAAGCTCGCTATGATCACATACGAGTTTTCGGACTATGCAGCTCAATGGTGGGAGCAATTGCCGCTTCACCGTCGTCGAAATCTCCAACCTCTAGTGGCTACATGGGACGAACTACGTGGGCTTATGAGGGAAAAGTTTGTTCCTGCATACTATCTTCGAGAGCTGCACGAGTCACTGCAAGGAATCAGGCAGGGGTCGAGAAGTGTTGAAGAGTATTTTCATGAGCTGGAGTTGTTGTGCTACGAGCTGACGTTAGGGAGGATCGGGAAGCTATGTTATCTCGATTCCTTCATGGCTTGAATCGTGAGATTCGTCAGGAAGTGGACTTAAGGGGGTTCGTGGATTTGGACGAAGCAGTGCACCTAGCTATAAAGATCGAAAAGCAACAAAGGGCGACTGCAGGCAAGAGATTTTCAAGCCATAAACCTGCCATTGAGGGTGCAGCAGAGTCTTCCACCCATCACCACAAACCAGAACTGCTCAAACCTGCGCCGCGGAGTGCTCCTATGACGAATACAGAACGCACAAGAATCTCCAGTGGCTCGATTCAGTGCTTCAAGTGCCATGGTCGAGGCCACAAGGCAAATCAATGCCCCAACCTCAAGACCTTAATACTCCAAGATGGAGAATACGTCTCAGATGACAAAATTGGCAGCCCAACCGCGCATAAAGATTCATCGGGCGAGGAAGTAGACGAAGAAATTGAGGCAGAGTCTAGGCCATTTATCTCAGGGATGAATCTACGTGCCTTGGCGACTGAAGGGGAAGCAAGTGATGACCAGAGAACTAATCTCTTTCACACAAGGTGCCTCGTCAATAGAAATTGCTTATCTGTGGTTGTCGATGGGGGAAGTTGTACGAATGTAATAACCATTGTCGCTGTCAAGAAGCTTAGGCTGGAGACAAATAAACACCCTGATCCGTACAGTCTTCACTGGCTTAATGATTATGGCGCGATCAAGGTGACAAAACGAGCTCTAGTTAATTTTGAAATTGGTCCATACAAGGACGAGCTCTGGTGCGATGTAGCGCCAATGCAGGCCGCCCATCTCTTGCTCGGCCGGCCATGGCAATATGATCGAGCTATGATCCATGATGGCAGTTCCAACTTCTATAAGTTCAAGCACGACGGGAAACGCATTATACTCAAACCATTGTCCCCGGCCGAAGTGCGATCCAATCAGCAGAAGATCCCGCCTTGAGGGCTCGAGAAATGGAGAGCTTGGGAATTCAAGACCCATAACGTGTTTGGCTCGTATGGAGTTTATGCTCACAGCCTTACGCAGGCCTAAGAAGCCTCGACGAACTACACCCGAACTGACCAGCCCTCTAGTGTTGACGAAACAGAGGAAGAAAGAGGGTGAATTGGTTGGAACGGTAGGGAACGATTCGGAGGAAGCCAATGATCCGGGAACAATCGTCCATGACCCAGGAATGTGTAGTAATGAGTCGTTGGGGTCGAATCACGCCGAATCAAAAAGCCCCAATTCGTCAATTTCGGGCCAAAATACGAAGAACAACGCAGCCGAGGAGAGCGAATTGGTTGGAAGGCTTGAGCGTGAATCGGTTGAAAAGAAGACTATGGTTATGCTCGGAAAGTCCCAAGGAAGCTGTGGCTACAATCAATTTGCCTGAACGATCCCAAAATCAGAAACGCCCAATTGCAAAATCACCTCGCCGGGTTCTGGGTTTATTACGTCGGAATCTGGAAAATTCAAACTTTCCGATGGCGCGAAAGTTGAAGATCGCGATTGGCGTCGAATTCGCCCAATTCGAAGGGTGGGTAAGGATGGAATCGACCTCTGGGAACCTTCTAAGTCGATCACAGGCAGTGAATTGGGACGAGGCAACGTCAAGAGAGAACCCCCAAACTTGGTGATCTCGACGAAGTTCTCGCCGGCGCCGGAAACTGGAGTTTTCATTTGGTCAAAATTGGACCCTACGAAGTCGATTGTTTGCATGGGAAGGGTCCTTTGGAGTCTCAACAACACATCGAGCCTTGAATTGTGGCATACAACAGCCGCTTCAAGGGTTGACGAAGTTTTGACGTGTGAATCGGCTAGTTCAAGGTATCACTTTTACGATCCAATCATGGAGTCTTTCATTGACAATTTTAGTTTCAGGTCAAGGCAAGCTTTGAGGTCAAAGCTTTTTAAAGGGTGAGGGCCTGATATGATCCCAATTGGATCATCCCACACATCACCATTGCTTGAGGAAGAAGCTGTTTCAAATTACATGACAAGTTCTGAATTTTGGCTAAGTATTGAAACCGAGTCAGGAAGCCTACTTTGGGGGCTTGTTTCTCTTGAATGGTTCAATGGAAATGCAGTTGGGATGGCTCCTTATGAAGATAAAGTGTTCCTCTATTCAGTGATGTGCCTTGGAGCTCGAGGGGAAGTTCAGAAGGCTGTGTACCAGACGTTCAAACATGCTACCTTGACAGCTCAAAACTGCCAGAATTCTACCAAGTCTGGAAGCAAGTGCAGGAAGGCAGGTTTGGAGCTTATTTCACGACGATGGAAGAGGAACCAGGTTTGGAGGATTGTTCCACATGGAAGCTTGCGTTTTCTAATACAGAAACGTGGGATTGGCTAACCCAAATGAGGGCTGGAAGGTTCTCGACGAGGGCCTTGAAGTTGGGATGGAAGCACGCCTTTACCTGCCTTCCAAGGCAGCCCTGTTTTCCTTGTTTGACACGGATTGTGTTTATGTGTTCGATTTTGATTCCTTTTTGAGTTGGATTATGTTTTAAATTCCTTGTTAGTTGTAGACGTAACTAGGTCTATAAAAACCCCAACTTTTTATAGAATTAAATATATAATGATTCTAAGACACTAACCATAGTTGTTATAGAATTAAATATATAATGATTCTAATTAACTCCTAACAATATGACGAATCCAAGTGGCCAAGCCCATTAAGATTTTATTAAATCTCCTTCTCCTCTTTGGGGAATGAAATTTATCAAGAACGATCTTCGAAATCGTATGGGGGACCAATTTATGAGAGATTGTCTGGTCACTTTCATTGAAAAAGGCGTGAGTCGCAACATAAGTGATGAATGTATTATAGAAACTTTTTCAGAATATGAAAACACGTCGTGGTTCGCTATGAGAAGCGATGAATCGATGTACTTTATTAATTAAACATTTTATTTTTATTTTTTAATTACTTTATTATTTATTTTTGTGAATACCCTTGACAAAATTTCTGGGTCCGCCACTGTCTGGTAGTCACGCTGAACTCACCATTTGGCCGATTCATAACGGTTACACTCTGTCGACTGCTCTTGCGATTGTCATTCTCCATTACTTCGGTGACTTTATAGGCATGGACATTTCCTTGTGCCTCGTTCATCCTTGCCCATTGGAGTCGATTGACGAACCATGCATTCGTTTTCCAAAAAGTCATCTCCACAATGGCAGAGATTGGCAGTGAACGAACACCCTTGTAGACAGAGTTGATACTCTCACTTGAGTTTGTTATGGCAATACCCCATCTTGTACCTCCGTCTTTATGAAATGTCCACATGAATAGGTCGTTTCCATCCAGCCACTGTGCCCCTTCAGGGCATAACCCACGCATCTTTTGCAACTTCTCCAGGAATTTTTTCTCTTGGTAGGAAACAGCTGAGGAACACAAAGAAAAGTATTACGTTAGTCATAATTTGGCAATTTAGTAGAATTAGAACAACCAACAAGTACTCTCGTTAGACTCTTAGGAGAGGTATACATCTCCTTAGAAACACAGCCTGCTTGACAGAAAAAAGGGGGGATCCGAGGATCGCTTAAAACCAGATTTTCATAGGAAATGGGAGGAACATGATAATCGCTTAAAACCCCATTTCCTTCGGCATGCATCTCTTTAGAAAGAGTTTAACAAGTGTGCCATTTATTTGATATAAGATATTTTTATTTGACAAAATTAAACAACCAATAGAGACCTTACCAATCCACCACAAATTATCAGCAAGCTTCCTCCTCTTGAAATGATGGTTCCAGTTGCTCTTGAAGTGTCGTATGCACCACCTTTGGGACCACTTCCAGGCTGGATCCAAACCTAAGATGGCAGCTATAATGTCGGCGTGCCGATCAGATATTATTGTCAGGTTCGTCCTCCTGGTGACGTAGAGCTGAATTTGCCAGATAAATCATCCATAGCTATCACCATTCTCTCCCTCAACAATGGCGAAGGCTAAAGGAAAGACTTTTTTGTTTGCATCCGCCCCACTGGAAATTAGGAGAGTGCCCTTGTACTTTCAAGTAAGGAATGTACCATCCACTTGGATCACAGGGACACAAAAGCCAAAACCATCAATATATGGCTTGAATGCCCAAAAACGCCTTCTGAAATGACGCTTGTTACCGGGCTCTGGCGGTTGTATCTCTTCATCTTGTTATCGAGGGGAGAAAACAGTGTCAGGGTTAGATGCCTCCAAAGCCAAAATCAACCTGGGTAGGAATGCATATGATTCTTACCAATCACCAAAGACGGCGGCCAGAGCTTTCTGCTTTCCATACCATGCCTTCTTATAGTTAATAATATAACCATAACGACTTGCAATGTCAGCGATTGGATAGGTCGTGTCCATCCCAGCCACTGTGCCACTTCAGGGCATAACGCACGCATCTTTTGCAACTTCTCCTGGAATTTTTTCTCTTGGTAGGCAACAGCTGAGGAACACACAGGAAAGTATTACGTTAGTTATAATTAGGCAATTTAGTACAATTAGAACAACCAACAGGTACTCTCGTTAGACTCTTAAGAGAGGTATACATCTCCTTAGAAACACAGCCTACTTGACAGAAAAAGGGAGGATCCGAGGATCGCTTAAAACCTGATTTTCCCATGAAATGGGAGGACCATGATAATCGCTTAAAACCACATTTCCTTCAGCATGCATCTCTTTAGAAAGAGTCTAACAAGTGTTCCATTTATTTGATATAAGATATTGTTATTTGACAAAATTAAACAACCAATAGAGAACTTACCAATCCACCACAAATTATCAGAAAGCTTCCTCCTCTTGAAATGATGGTTCCAATTGCTCTTGAAGTGTCGTTTGTGGAGCTGAATTTGCCGGAAAAACCATCCATAGCTATCAGCATTCTCTCCTTCAACAATGGCGAAGGCTAAAGGAAAGACTTGTTTGTTTTCATCCGCCCCACTGGAAATTAAGAGAGTGCCCTTGTACTTGCTGGTAAGGAATGTATCATCCACTTGGATCACAGGGACACAGAAGCCAAAACCATCAATAGATGGCTTGAATGCCCAAAAAATTCATCTGAAATGGCGTTTGTTACCGGGCTCTGGTGGTTGTATCTTTTCATTTTGGTATCGAGGGGAGAAAACAGTGTCAGGGTTAGACGCCTCCAATGCCAAAATCAACCTGGGAAGGAATGCATATGATTCTTCCCAATCACCAAAGACGACGGCCAGAGCTTTCTGCTTTCCATGCCACGCCTTCTTATATTTAATCATATAACCATAACGACTTGCAATGTCAGCGATTATGACTTTCACCATCAGGTTAGGATCTTGCTCAATTAGATGCTTGATAGTCGTAGCAACCACCCTGGATTTCAAGTGTCGGTGGCCTTGGGATGTTATGGATGACACACACGTGTGTGTGTTCACCGCACGGGATATGACCCAATGGCCGTGTCTTTGCTGTTGATGGCCCAAATCCTAACATTGCATCCCTCGTGATGATTACAGCATCTGACTATGAGCCTTCTCGTGTTGGAATGAGTTGTGTGCCATTCAAAATGCCGAGTCATTGCTTCAGTCAATGCCGTGACACACCTCCTTCTTCGAGCCAAATTGTTGGCACTTCATAAACCCAGTGAGTGGACCTCATTCTGGGACCTCTGGCGGCTCCATGTCGCTATCGACACACCAATTGTTGTCTGGAATGTGATTATAGTAGGAGACTGGTACACGGTCACGAGCCACCTCATCATTATTATCTGAGTCTGACTCTGGTCCTGAATCATCAGCACCTTCAAGAGGGTCGGAGCTGTCTGCACTGACATTGTTCTCTCCTTCTTCATCGGAGGGGTCACTAACTGGTGATGGCATGGCATCTTCCATCTGATTCAGCTCATGAAAGGCACCTTCATCAGCTCCATAATGGTAGTTGTGAAAACTACCGCTGCCTGATTGGAAGTTGTACTCGGGTTGGTTGGCATGGTCTAGTTGAACTTCTTCTTCATATGATGGGAAAGATTGATGATGACCTTCACCTTGCTCTTGGTACTGAAAATAGGAATGAGGATCATGGTAACTTTGGTAGGTATTATCTCCATATAATTCACATCCACCATGGATACTAGATGTTTGACCGTCTCCAGAATGACCTCCAATGCCTACGACCGCCTCGGTGCAAACGAACATCTCGGCTTTGGAAAGATTGTTGGACCTCAAGAATTCGAGCGTGTCATCTACTTCATCCTGAGTGGTTATGAGATATTCCTCGTGCCACAACGACCCGCCTTCTCTGTTTGGATATCGATACACCATACGATCAACTCTTCTCGTGCCATCCATGCAAGTAACGTTAGTACACATTTGATGGAGGTCTTCAAGCATCGGTTTGGTAGCGACCTTTATTTTCTGAAAATTTCCATTGACGTAGGTGACCCCCTTTCTGGTCTCTTTCGTGTAACCATTCCACCGTAACCAAAGCGTGAACTTTTGGAATGTCATCTAAAAACAAACTGTAGTTCAGTTAATATCATAAAAATCACAAATCACAATAAAAAGTAATACAAAATAAACTTACGAGTTAATGTTAACAGCAAAAACACTAAAGGAGTAGAGAGCTACAACAGAAAATTTGTAACATCCCATTTCGGCAAAACCCATATTTCGGTCGTTAGAAAATTACGCGATTTAAATCGAATATTTTGATAGTAATTCGGCGAAAATCGAAATATCGATCGGATAAATATCAATTACTATATATAAATATAGTAATATGTATTAATAATTATATATATATATATATTAGTTAGTCATACACAAGGTTGTGTGTCACCAGGAGAGCATCGGGCGTAAAAGTAAGGGTGCGGATAGTATAAAAACACCATTAGTGTTGTTAACTTGTTATAGTAACATCATAATTCATTAAGGGTAAAAGAGTAAAGTTACACAAAAATAAATACAAGGGCAATGTCTATTTTTTACCCAAACATTTTCCATATTCTTTTATTTTAACCAAACCTATTGAATTCCAAAAAATTATCCAAACGTTAACTCTTCGTCAACTTTTTGGTAGTAATGCTGACTAAGTATGACCATAATGAGTTGACTTCCTACGTGGCAGTCAAAATACCATCATTTACTATTTTTAATAAAAAGATTATCAAAAAATTAATAATAAAAAACCAAAACAGAATCCCACCCCTCACGCCTTCTCCCCTCCCCTCTTCCTCACCGATTTGGTCGTCGTTGTCGGAATCGGAAGCCCAATCATAGAAGGTTGTCGGCTCCTCTTCATATTCCTCCAATCCTCCTGCACCAGCACCAGCATCACAGTCACTCCAAGCAATCCTCCCGATCTCTGCTCCCTTCCGGCGCCCAACCCTTCATTGAACTCGATTCCCCAAAACCCCTATTCTGAATTTTTGCTCTTTGATTCATATATCTAGATTTTCATATTCGATGACGGGCAATGGCGTCAATGTCCTCCTTAGATTCGACGGCGGGCTTGGGCGGCGGCGGGCGAGGGCGACGATGTGTGGGGTTGGGCGATGGGGATTGGTTTAATTAGAATAGGTTTGGTGGTATGGAGGGAGAGGCGAAGACGGAGAATAGAGGAAGAAGAAGCGATGGAGTTGCACAGCCAATGGATTTTTTTTAATTTATAATTATTTTTTTTAGTGATATGAGAAAAATAAATTAATATTTTTTTCATATTTGAGGTGGACGCTGACGTGGATGCTTACGTGGACGAAATAAGTAACGGTAAC